AACAAGAATACGGTATGTGGCTAGGTAGCCAGTAGTTATGCATGAATTTAGATTTTACTACATATACTTAGGAAAATCCAAACGTTTTAAATCAGGCGGCTTTGCCGCAGATAAAATTTTGAATTTAACCCGAAGAGTTTATTAGCCTTGGTTGAGGTACTAACTACTCTTGGAGGTAGCGGATTGCAATCTGTAATCGTAATTGCAGTCACCGGTAAGGATTTGGGTATAGGTATAGGTGTAAATGTAGGTATCAAAAAAATAAATGTATTTGTAGAAGGCATAAGTCCACGTCATATTTAAATAAATCTAATATATCGAATCACTTATATCGTCGCATCCACCTCCTTTACGAGCATGTCTGCTGTATGGATTCCTCACACAGTTGATTTTAATGCGGGGATTTGCGTTTCCGACTAAAGCGATGCTATTCGAAAAGCAGTCCTCACAAGCTTGCAAAAGTGAATCCTAGATAACCTCGTTCGTGGTTGCTGAAGGAAGTCGAAAAAGTAGTTAACTGATTGTTGTATCGATCCTTGCTTCAGCGCAGCCATACAGCGCGTAGGATGCAGCAGCGAATAAAGTTGAGCGCCACAGAAAATCTATAAGATATAGTCAGTGCAAAGCCACGATCTGGTCTGATCAGCCGTGTTGCCAGACGATTGAATGTCGCTCGAGCTTTCGACAGTCTTTGTGGCATGAACAGCCGCCAAACGAGAATCAAGCTTAGAGTACTTAAGGCAATTGGATTGATCTCGCTGTCTATCATTAGCAGTTAGAAATAAGTATCAGACAGATCAAGGTACTGAAGAAAGTGCAACCGAATATGCTCTTTCGCGGCTCATGGTCCTCAGGATCGGTGTTTTCACCAAATCGCGGCTACATATTGGATACTTCACAGCATAAACCTCAAGTTTGGCTAAATTTGATTTATAAGCATGCACAAGTTGCCACTGGTAGTAAACCTTTTAGATACAGAATGTCGACGCCGAGTGTAAAGATTTACCTCATTTTCCAAACCTGCTTCGTGCTTTGCACGCATAAAAACGTCGATGACGTCGCACTAATTATGTGCTAAGGCCAATTCGCGCTACAAAAGATTTGATCTGTAAACTCAATCAATTTCATGGCACTCTGCCCTGTCCGATGAACACACGTGACGAATCTCTGGTGTCCATGTCGTGATATTCCTCAAAAAAGTAGAGGAGTATCCATGATGATAGCCGTTATGCTCCTCTCACTCGATGCTTCACGAATATCATCAATGACATTTTTATTCAGGACAACGATGGGATACGCTCATTTATTGTATCCTTCTGCACCAAACGTACAACTTTGTCGTTGTGCAATTTCTCGCACCCTCTTTAGCTATCTATATACGAGCTACTACTGGATGCAGGGAGGGTAGGCTTTACACTCCTTAGGACTGCTCCGGGCGGTGGACCTGTCACACTGTAGTGCTGCCTCAGCAGTGACCTCTATCGTGATAGGGGTCAACGATTCTTCTAATATTCAAGAACATAGACCCTCTACTCGCGACTAACAGTCGGCCTCCAGGTCCACTGCCTTGGCACGGGAGATGGCGTCGACCAGTCGCTTCCACATCACCAGCCATGGCACAGGCGACCACAAATTACAGTTGTTCTTTCCCGCAACGCCAAAAAAACAAGCATAGGACCACGACATACAGATACAGTTGACTTTTCTGTCAAAATAATACACTCCGGAGACCGCGATATGCTATTTCGTCTCGTCCTGAGACGTTGGCTCGCTGCCTCTTTACCGCCCTAGCTTTAATCGAGACACATAATCGGAGATTTCCTTTCCTGTCCGGAAGCTTTAGCAGCTTCGTGCCCGCGCTAATTAGCACTTCTGCTTTTTGACAGAGGTGTGCTTATGACTCGTCGGAGTTCGGCCATGAGAGAAGTGCGTAGTACCTGATTTCTGATTCCTTTACTTTGAGTGTCCTCAACTTTCGCCCTGGGGTTTAGTGAGGAGAGCGTTAGCACATATCTGAACGACATTATCATCCCGACATTTTAGACTTAGATCTGTTTATCTACAGCTCAATGATCTCTGATGCACGTTTTATACTCTGCTTATCACAAACACTACCGTGATGAACGCAAGAAAAAGTTAAGCAAGTATTTTGAGCGCCTGAATACTGCGTGTAGGTTTGCCTTTACATTGTTACTATACACAACACATTGACAGTTCTGTATATACTGTCATTATTCAAATTATTTGTTTGAGAAACAAATTAATGCGATACCAAGCAAAACGGTAGACTCGAACGCAGTCGACGTAAGAAGCTAGCCGATATGGCAGCCACACATTGCACTGATGAGCACTTTTGCTCACAAGCGTTACACTTTTAGTAATATAGACTTACCCCTGAAATGTGGAATCCGAGGATCTGTTATATTATGAGTAAAATAGTATATGGCTTTTTGTCCGACTTGTTAGATGTCAACATCGCAGTTGTCTCTAGTCTAGCAAAGCTAACGGTGACAGCCACGTGATTTAACGCTTGAAATGTAACCGCTTATAACTTACAGCGTACATGCTGGTTTTATTAGCGTTCATTTTGTCAGGCTGTCTTTAAGACCTAATATTGAGTTTTGTCACGACACGAACTTGTGCTTTCGACTGGGCAAAACCTTATCACAAAATTAACGAGCAGATTACAACACAGTCGACTCTTTTTTGGATGCAAAAGTCGTTGTGAATTTTGATCACGCTTACCAACTCATAGACTCTACCGCCCTAATTTTTTCTCAACAAGTTATTGCGGCTACAAGTTTGGTTACCAACGAAGACGAGCCTTATTCTGTGATGTAGAGATCGCCTTGTCTTTCACCTTCCAATCTTGTGAAAGGTCGAGTGACTAATATAGACAACTGTGCGCGTCAACATTTACAACTTCACGCTCAGTAATCGTGCGTTAGAAAGGACAAGCTGTCTGAAGAGAGACGACTTCGCTTCTTGAGAGGTGTGCAGCATGATCAATATTCTAAGGTTGTCAAGTCGTAAAAGGCGGTTTATCAATTGGTAGAGACACAAACTCGAAATTAACAAACAGGATTGTTTGTACCGCCTTTTGGAAGTGGCAGACGATGTTGCCGATATCTGAAGATGTGCTCAGTGTGGTACTGACAAATAAAGTGTCTCTCCGATGATTCTAAAGTGCGATGAACGTCACCTCGCCGTATTAATAGCGCTTTTTTGTTTCCTCGAGAAGAGTGAGCCAGTAACCGCAAAAAGACCAGGCGAGCGCTACAATTGTAGGTAAAGGAGAGCTAAACAGCTTTTTGTCGAAAATTTAAAATCGATTGATACTCGCGTAAAATATGCAGATATAGGTTATCACTTAAAAGAGCAATTTCACCTGCTAAGCGTGATGGAATCTTGTTTTTTATCGAAAAGACGACGACTATGTCCGACGCTCATACCTTGAATGGATTTCTTTCGTTTGTCGCACTATAGACTTTATCACAATATATTTCTAGGGAGAAAGAAATCATCCGATGAATACATATACATGCGATGCATTTTGGCTGCCATTCTACCAAAAAGATTATACAAAGCTGACAATTCTGTTGAAGTTTGTGTATGTCGATAATTTTTTTTTATAAGAACATTGCAGCGGAAAGATTGCTCTGTATCCACAGTCACGACAGCGAGATGGTCACTTATTAGCATTGTCAATGGGTTCAATGGGTTCAATTGGCTATGAATGATTACAGATGTACATCGTCAACCATGGCTGTACCTGCAAAATTTCTTACCATATCAGCCCTGCCTACTGAATTTGTGCTCGCAATAGATACATCTCGCAGACACATATAATTAAGTACCTTCGAGGCGATTAACTTGTAGCCAAACTGTCACATCTTCCAGGCTTTGCCTAAAACTATTTCTTCTTGTATTTAATGAATAACTCCAACAATCGGTTAATTCTTACCGGTAGCAGACATTATAAGTATGCACTTTCAACGGACATACCGTATTTTCTGACAAAAAGCTATTTTACCAGTTTATGTAAAATACACTAGAGATTTCCTGAACACCTTATACTCATCGAGTCATGGCGGTAAATCGCACCGCCGACTTCGCGCTGCTGTGCCAGCACTTTTCAGATGCAAAGGGTGCTACTGCATTACAGGTACAAATCATCGCTATGAAATCTTTGCTGTTATTCACTGTTCATACCTTACAATATTCCTATTCTTCCTTCATGTAGAAACCAGCACACACGCCGTTTCAGGAAAATGCACAGTTTAATGCTGCAGCTTCAGACATTTCAAAGGAAGTTTATCAAGCTTCAAAGCGATTACAGCAACTAACACAATGTACGCATTATAAGAAACGGTCATTATTTAGCAATAGTCATTACCGTTGTGATGATGCTTAGTGGTGCGGCAGAATAATATGTTTAACGACCCGACTGATGCCATTAATGAGCTTGCGGCGCTCGTAAAGAAGGACATTACGGACATCAATATGCAGCTGGACAACCTACAGGAGTATATTGATAGCAAGCGGCAGTCGGCGACATCGAGACAAGCCGCACGGCACTCAGACGCAGTTGTCTCTTTGATGAAATCGAACCTAATGGCTACAACAAAAGGCTTCAAAGACATATTGGAAGTTAGGCAAGAAAATATGAAGTTACAACAGAGTCGACGCGCAAGATATGGCAAGACGGCGTCCCGTGCATTGGGCAAGCCCCTAGCTTTCAAGGCTCCAAAGCCCCCGAGGAGTAACAGCAGCCATACTGATAGTGAGCAAGAAGTAAATTTGTTCAACACATTACCGAGGCCAGGGTTGAATATGGCTGACACCAAACAGACTGAAATTCAACCTCTAATCACCACGATGACACAGGAGCAACTCGTTGCAGAACAACAAAACTATGCAGAGTCAAGAGCGGGAGCGGTATCCCAAATTGAGAGTCACATCGTAGACATCGGACAGCTTTTTGGACGCTTGTCAACCTTAATACATGAGCAGGGAGATCTTGTGAGGAGGTGAGCGCAAGCTGTTGATAGTTTTTGGTTAAAAGAGATTCTTACTGGTTTGTGTGCTGTGCTACAAGAATTGATGACAATGTGGAGGAATCTCTGGTAAACGTGAGCAGCGCGGAGCATGAGTTGCTCAAATATTTTTCGAGCCTGTCGAATAATAGACTGCTGGCGCTCAAGATTTCTGCTATTTTATTGGTATTCCTCATCTTCTTCATGTTTTTTCTAGCATAAAATATAAAGCTTGAGTGAACAAATAACAACTTTTCGTATATTCTCGAAATGTGGGATAAGGTAAGATCTTGTTCAGCAGCTATACACATAGTATCTAATAATTTCTGGGCTCCTTGTTGTTCTTATCTGGTTTAATAGCGATAAACCCACCCAATGCCATGGCTACAACAGTGGCACCTTGAGCGATGACACGCATTCGCATGAACTTTTGTTGGGTTGCAGCATCGGCAGCACGACGAAATGAAGCTAGACCTCCAGCTAGAACACCTGCAGTGGCAATGCATCCTATTGGCACCAGCGGTTCCTCCTGGCAACGACGCTTTAATTTCTCCCAACCACTTTCCATTGGAAACCCGTTCATCTTGACGAAAAATAAGCGGCATGAAGTTATATACTAAAATAACCGATATGCTTAATTATAGGGAACTGGTAAGCAAGGTATGCGTTTGTATGATTCGCTCGCTCTCCGCCCCTAACTCAAACAAAGGGAACGCTGCCGATTGTTAAAATGCTCCAACTCCGCAAGCAAGTTGTGCGCAGCGCACTGCAAACGCGTGCAATTGAATGGGCTTCTATCTCACAAAAACTGACAGATCCGCGTGCCCGCGCCGCCCTTGACAGCCTTCGTGACGTGCACGGCCAGATTGCGGGTGAAGCTCGTACCTATTTAAAGGAGCCCGAACCGATTGATTTTGATTACTATCGTTCGGTCATTAAAAACAAGGATCTGGTGGATGCAATGGAAACAAATTACAAAAATATTTCTTACCCGACTATCACTCCTGAGGAGCTGGACGTCTTCGCAAAGTCGAGCGATCTACCGGAAGAGCTGCGCGTCAACGAGCAGGAAACCATCGATAAGCTTGTAAGCTTGTCAAGTGTTATAAGGTTTTGATTTTTGTAGAAATTGACGATCTTATCATGTGATCTATGCAGTTTTCTCAACTAAATGAAAAAGTGTCGGACTCGAAGGCCCGAATCGAGGAACTCAAGGAGCTAATTGGATTAATGGAGGAAACCCGTACGACTTTGGCTACTACCATGGATGAAATCACTGCGATGTATCCGGAGGTTGAAGAGGAGGTCGATGATGAAATCGCGAACCTTGAGTGGGAGAAAGACACACAGTAAGATGTTGTGAAGAGTAAAGAAGCACAGGTTGATACTTATCGGAATGCTTATTAAAGCAGCCGACGAATTGAGTACGTTTAAGAAAACCTGCTTCTTTTTTGCGGGGTTGTTTGCATTAGAAAGTCTTAGGTACCTCTTACTATTGCAACCACCACATTGTCTCCACGCAAATCAAGCTTGGCTGCATCTATCTTGTCATTGTAATTCGAGAACACGAAAATAAAAGCTTTCTCACATATAATACCCAGGGTAATGTGTAATTGCAACTACCACTATTCACGTGTGCGATAAGGTTCTGGCACACGAAACAGCTCCTTCGGATTCTTGGTTGATACGCTGTCCACGCAGGTATTGTATGCTAGCAACATGTCCTTGCACTTCTCTAACGCCACGTTGCCCACCTCCGTATCGGACTTTCCTGCTTGTTGCTTGCCATGCTCATAAAAACAGGCAAAGAACTTGTTTGCTACGTTTTCGCAAGCCTTGGGCGCACTTGGAAAATTCTCGCTCACGCGCAGCTCTGTCATCAGTATTATGTTGAGGTCGAATAAAAATTGAGATTTGAGATATATATAAATAACAAAAAATTTCAGAACCACCAGGTCTCTATTTCTTAATATTAGCCAATTCCTTCCGTCTGTAGCGTTTCGTAATAGCATGTATGGCCTTGTTATCTAAGAAAACATTGACACATGGGACATTAACTGCTCAGTCGTCAGATCGGCGGAATATATGGAATGTTAGAAGGTACTACAGCATAATAGAGTCATTGATGTCCCACGCAACGCTTTTATTGCGTATAACAACATGCAATGCCATAACTTGTCTAGCGTCACGGGGTCCACCAAATCTCTAGTTAGACTGTAGTAGCATTTGAATCTTACGTTCCGTCGTCGTCCTCGCCGTCAAAGTACAAAAACTCGGATGATGTGTTGAATGCAACGCAAGAATCCCAAAATGTCGCTAGCGCAGCGCCCAGAGGTCTCGTAACCTGTAAAAGGCCAATATTTTTGATTAGCGGTGAAAATTAACAGGTGCGATAAATCGCAGCAATCAGTGGTACTTACAGCACTGCCGACACGACTTTTGCTGTTTTGCACTATCTTTTCGATGGTATACGAATTTCGCTTCCCCACTGACGAGCGCGCCATTGCCCTTGCCATCACTCGCGTGATAATAAGGCGTTGACCAATTCGGTAGTACGTCATGTAAGTCTCCAACACGATTCCTAAATTTGTAATTAGATGACTAACAGAAATTTAGGACATTCAAATGTGCTAATTTTTTATTCTGTTAATATATTACTGCCAATCTTAAACAAAAAACAATGGCATAGATGTAGCATTTGTACGCTGAGCTCTTCGAGAAACCTCTTGCGAAGTAAACTATAGCGAATTGACACTTAAGAGCGGAATGTATTTCAGTTTGACATATACCAACCCCAGACGGGATCACGACACTGTTCTCCGGGCGGACATTCACCTTCATGCAAGCATGACCACACCTGTTCGATGGCATCATTTGAGAAAGTTGCTTCCTATGAAAAAAAGTTATTAGCGTTGGAGCTAAAGTAGTTTAAATCTGCTCAAAGAACCAACCTTGTCGTAAACCTTGTCGAAGTGAAGCCCGCCCGAGCGACCCCATAAAGATTTAGTACTGACAGAATTATTGATCATGCTGAACCTCTTTTTTTCGTATAGATCAGTTCTAAGCAGGTTGAGGCGTAAAGTTTTCAAACACCCTGTAATTTCGTCTTGTGTTCCTTGATTGTGAGCAGCTACCATGTAATTATTGCTGTCGTCACTCTCGTCGTCGCTGTCCTCTCCGTACTCATAATACTTGGCAATCGAATAGCTTGAAAGCCCTACCACGATCCCCGCAGCCAATGCCGGATTCTGTCGCAGCCATCGCATACCGTCAAGTACCTCAGCTAATGTTGGTAAATATGACGGTGTTGCTATCTTTCTAATGAATTCTTCCATACCAGACATCGGAATTATTTGCAGTCACGTTGATTTAACTTTAGAGCCGTTGATTCAGTTGTGACATATTGTAGGTTTAGAGCACACAGCTGATCCGGCGATGTGTATTGTTGACGCGCCGTTCTGGCGATGCAATTTGCACCAAGTAACGACGTCTATCCCTGTGATTCGAGTATGCTGACTTGAAATTTTTACAGAGCCACACTGACCATAACCATCCTGTCTGCAGCTAATTTTACATGAGAATATCCTTTTTTTAAGAAATCATTCTGACGTTGATTTCAAACAATTTTGCGGATGTTCCGCATGGTACACATCTCGTAGGATGGATCAATATCATCTTCTATCACAATTAGACGAATCAATGATGTGACCTACACACATGCTATTTTGTGTGTTTAATGTTAATTTTTAAGTTGACAAATCGCTGGTAAGAAAAGTCTTTTGAATGTATTTTAAGCAGGACGTACATTTAGCAATTTGGGCCATAACTTGCCTTGAACCGGTTCAGCAATGTGTGGACCATTAATGTTAATATAAATTTATTGATTTGGCTTCTGTATGTAATTGTTTTGGTTGGTCAACCGCTACACAACAACACTGTGTATTCATTTTGCGAGTGGAAAGGTGCGTCGATGCTCACTTACTTCGCTGAGTCCGTCATCTACAATGCTTTCCATGCTGAATGTCGACAATCTTAAAGAATTTCTCTTTATAGATTATCACTCAGGCAAACAGCATTTTGACAGATAGTAGCGGCGGATAAGCGAGTTTACAAGACGTGGACGATAAACTAGTGGCTTACATGTCGTTTGTATAGTACAGGGAATCATGCAGATTTTTGTGAAGACTTTGACCGGCAAGACCATCACGTTGGATGTGGAACCTTCTGACAGCATTGACAATGTCAAGCAAAAAATTCAGGATAAGGAAGGTATTCCACCTGACCAGCAGCGCTTGATTTTCGCTGGCAAGCAGCTTGAGGATGGCCGATCCCTTGCAGACTACAACATTCAGAAGGGTGCGTGGTTTTTTATATGTCTCAAGCGAGTAAAGAGACATAATATATTTATACAATGCAGAGTCAACTCTTCACTTGGTGCTGCGCCTTCGTGGTGGTGCCATTGAGCCTACACTCGCTGCTTTGGCCAAGAAGACGAATTGTGAAAAGCAAATCTGTCGTATCTGTTACGCACGTTTGCCTCCCCGTGCTACTAACTGCCGCAAGAAAAAATGTGGTCACAGCAATCAATTGCGCATCAAGAAGAAGCTCAAGTAAATGCGCTTAGCTTTTTGCTCAATTGGCTTGAAATCGACTCGCAGACCCAAAACAGTCACTTTAAGTGCAGTATTGTTAATCGTTGCTTCTCAGGTAGTGGCAGGTGTCCTCACTAGTTGATGCAAATGCTTAACAGTGAAAAATTCATATACGCACTCCTTACGCACGTGTTTTTCCAATATTCAACGTTTTCTTTGTGACTTTTACAAGATGAAACCTCGTATGAAATAACTTTGCATCAAAATCACAGCATAACGACCGAATGACTAGTTTATAGTAGCTACTACTTATGTAAATGTGTTATGCTAAATATCTTGACGAAGTGTCATAACAACACTACAATATCTTTGCACGAGGACAATGATTCGATATAAGAAGTCACCTCAATAATTATATGGAGAATTCAAATACTCATGGCATGTTGAACGTCTAACTAGCTCATGACATGAATATCTTTCCATTACAACTTCTCAAGACATCTCAACTTAGTTCCCCACGGCCCAAACACGGACAATACCATCCGTGTATCCAGAGAAGAGCACCGAGCCATCAGCCGACCAGGCGAGTGAGATACAATGGGGAAGCTGAGCGTACTTGCCCTTAGGCTCCTCGATATCCGGCTGCAAATCGTGCACGACGATCTTGGACTCAAGGTCCCAGATCTTAATGCCCGACGTAGTAGCAGCACATAGCCAGTAACGGTTAGGCGAAAAGATCAGGGCATGAATGACATCACCGGCCACTAGCGAGTAGAGACGTTTGCCCTCGTTCAAGTCCCAAAGGTTGGCAGTGCCATCCTTACCACCGGAAGCACAGATCGATCCATCTGGAGACACAGTCACTGTGTTGAGGTAGCCCTCGTGGCCAAAGAGATTGGTACGGAGCTTGCAGTTCGAGAGGTTCCAGATCTTAACGACCTTGTCCCAACCACACGACACAATGAGTGGGTTCGCGGTCGAAGGCGAGAAACGAACACATGAAACCCACTCTGTGTGACCGTCCTCCGTGATCGTGTACTTGCATTCACCCAGAGTATTCCATAGTTTAACAGTCTTGTCCCGCGAGCCAGAGACGATCTGACGGTTATCAGCGCTGAAGGCCACAGAGAGCACGTCCTTGGTGTGTCCTACAAACCGACGAGTTGTGATGCCTGTGTTTAAGTCCCAAAGACGCAATGTGCCGTCCCATGAGCCTGAAAGGGCAAACTGGCCGTCCGATGAGATCACAACGTCCTCTACATAGTGAGAGTGGCCCTGAAGACGACGACGAGCAAAGCCATACTCCTCGCCATCATTCGACAACTGCCACACGAGCAACGACTTGTCACGTGAAGCTGTAAGAAGAAGGTTTGGGTTCTCGCGGGTTGTAGCGATGGCAGTCACGGCTTTGCCGTTATGACCGTCAAGCTCGGCGCGTGGGTAGATGCTAGTTTCGGCCATGGTGGAGTAAGGAGGTTAGATCAATTGTGCGCTGGACTCCGACCACCAGTCGACAAAGAAGGAGTCGATTGGATAAAAGTCTGACAATAGTTAGTGATAATCGCAAAGGTTATAACGAGGTAATCTATTGGTTTCTACAATTACTTTACGTTCCTAAATGGGAGGGTTACATGGCAATTTGTTTAACCATCACATGCGCGAGCCTTGATGAATCGTTTATGCTATATTCAGCAAGCGCGCGATAGAATATTTCGCTCCTAGCAATGAGAAAATTCTGTTTCTCGATGCAGCTTCGTCACAAAAGCTTCAGAATTATTTAAAATATAGGATGAGAGTTGTTTTTTGGAAAACGTGTTCTCGGTGCCTTCGCCTCTGGATGTGACCTGCCAGCTAAATGCTAGTGACAACATCTTGACTGTGTGATATTGATGTCAAATACACTAACACTGTTGCTATCGGTGAGGGATGTAAGTAGAAGCAAAATATGGTAAGTATTGACAATGCTGCAGCGGGGCTGCCGAAGCTCTTTGCTTAGAGAAAGATTACTAAGGCCACCAACCTAACGTTCTACACCAGAATCAGTTCGAGTATAGGGATCGCAATCCGCTACCTTCAAGAGTATTCAAAACCCTAACCTAGGCAAATACACTCTTCCCTTTAAAAAATGAAGCTGTATATTTCTGTTTGATTTGCAGAGCTAAAACTTTAGGTTTTCCTGATGAAATAGTAAAACCTAATTAATATGCATAAACACTGGCAGTCCGCCACGTAGTTGCTTCTTGTTACGGTGTAGCCACACCATTGTGTGATTACAACAACTTGTGTAATCCACACGTTTGTATTGTCACACCCTCTTGTGTGTCACACCCTTTTACACCAGGTAACGTGAATTCCCGTCACACTCTCCCCCATCTAAATTTTGAATACCCACAGTTCACATTAAACTGTCACCTCGTACGAGGCTCGCGTGTCTGAGACACCGTTACGTCCCTAGGAGCATCCTCATGCATTCTCTGCCCAATAAGCCCTGAGTCTATGACACGAAAAATACATAGCCTCGCTGGTTTGAGGACGCCCACGAAAGAGCCTTTTTTCGTCTTTTGCACATGGTGCAAGTCCGGACGGTACGTCCGCGGCTTAATGGGAAGCACATTCCATACGATCGACAACCGGGGCCACACACCGTGCCCGCCACGGGCGACAGACTTATTTATCAAAGATTCGGAAAAAGTCGACTATGAGTCGGATATCCTTTTTCCAGGATGGGAAGAAGAGAAGAGCGATGTGCGCCGACGGCGCGGCGTGAGGTCTGCATGAATAGTGCGGACACCGAGCCCGTTCACGACTTCTCAACTTCCGGAAAGTGGTTTTATTACCAATCGCCTCGACGAGGCACAGGAGCAGCAGTTGAAGGCTGCACACAAGGCGGCTTTTATGCTCGTATCCACGTTCGGTCCCATACCCTCGTGTGGAATACGGCTTCCGCTCGGCGGATCCCGCTACTTAAGCGAAAGACGCGATCACATGATCGCTAGGCGTCAACGTAGTCGGAACCCCGACCACGACACAAGCTGAGCTTGACCAGCTAAAATCTCTCCGAGCTCGCTTCTTGGTACCTCAGGAAATTCAATGGAAAGGAACCGCGCTCGACTTTGAGCTCAAAGAGGAGGCGCTCTTGTACCCGCTATGCGAACTATTCCTGTGGTGCTTCCCCCTGGCGAAACCGCTGCAGATGGTGAGGAGCTCTGAGCGATGGATGCAGCGACACCGAAAATTTTTCTTGCTGTCTAACTTACACTTCGTTGTGGGTCCGCCACAACAAAGTGAACGTACGCGTAGAACGCCATCTTCGATTTGAGTACTCTTGGCGCAACGCCGATTTCCTGCGTATTTTCGGCCTGTGACACATGAAATAATTTATCACGCTCCCGCAAGCTCTGTGGTCTCTCCACAGGGTGAGTCTATGACCACAGCAGCTCAGTGCCATAGCTTGAGCTCAGCTCATTGCCCTTCAGCTTCCCGGGCTACCGCCAAGAACCGCGGAGCGCACGGTGATGCGGAGCGTCATGATACTTCTGATAATAAGTCTCCACGACGTCTGGGCAGTCTTGCCGAAGTGGCACCTCAAAATTCCACGAGTTCTCAGAGTTTGGGTATCCTCGCGAAATCACAAGATTTTAAATTCGACCCTGTTGACGACGTCAGCCCACAAGGCGTTTCACGTGAGCATTTTCATCGAGATGAGTCAGCGGCGGGCAATGACGACTTACGATCGCCGTTCGGTGACTTCCGATGCTCTTCGAGCTCTAGAGAGCAAAGTCCGAAAGTCCGTCGTCGGCGCTCTACCGAGCATCTTGCCGAGGTCACATACCGTTGTGCGGAAGACCTCGAAAGCTTGGTGTACTTTGTGCACTGACTGCTTCACGTTGAGGATGAGGACTTTAAAGAGCGGCTCCTAGCCGTCGAGCGAAGACGGTTCTTCGTGCAACGGTGGAGCTCCTGGCGCCGTTGGAAACGGAAATCGTTGTATTATATGAACAGAATCAGTTGCTGGATCACTTCGGGGTGGCCGGGCGCACTTGGGCGCCGCCCCGGCACCAACGCGCCCGCGTTCCCTTGCGCCGGATCCCGGTACGGCTTTAGCAAACCCGTATAGAATACCAGGTGGGTGTGTATCCTTCTCGAAAGGTTTAACGTATACGCAGCTGGCCACGACCTTAAAGGTCCAAAAAACCGTGGACGGAGCTTTGTCTTGAAGACAGCAGAGACCGCAAATGTAGATAGCTTTTTAGCATTTAATAAAAACCAGGTATCCGACCTCAATGATTTCGGCATTTTTTCTTCCGTTTGCACATTCTTTTTGCATGTCTTGTCGTTCAGCCATCGCATCACGAAAGTGCTCAGTCTGGTAGACAAGAAGTCATCGACCTCTTTGCGGACAATGGAAGGCAGCCTTCCGCTAGCCGTTCACTATTTATCTCCACCAAGCCCCGAGCCATGTCATGGCAGCGTCAGCTGGACGCGAGGATTAACAAGCCCGTTCACATAGAACGGCATGTTACCGGGAGATGAATGCACTGCATTGTTCTGAGCAGACTTTACGAGTGACAGCATGACGCTCTAGCGCTTCAGCATTTCAGCGCAGACGCTGCGAAGAACGTCTTCAGCGACGCAATTTACGCGCTCAGATTGACCTTCGGTCTGCGCATGGTCAGCTGCTGACATAGTAAACATGGTGCCCAGCACTACGAAGATTGTCGACCAAAACTTCTCAGTGAAGCGTGGGTCTCTGTCAGAGACAATTGACTCCGGAAATCCATGTTGTCGAAAAAAGACAAGATCCACAAATAGCGCCGCTATACCCAAACCATCGATGGTGTCCGGCACTATAAGCCATCTCGCTCAGACGGTCAGAATAGACCACCACACTCGTGTTGCCCGCCGAGTCCTCCGGCAGACCAAACACGAAGTCCATACTCATGGAGACTGCCAGCCCCCGGAGGGCACCGGTAAATTGGCCAGCGGCGCCGCCACATTAGGAGAGAATTTTATCCTTTGACACGTGCGCACATATGTGTTCGTTCGTCTGTACAGCTTGGACCACCAGTAGTGGCAACTCACAGAACCTTAGGCCTTCTCACGACCAAAATGACTACTGAGTGGGGTATCGTGGGCCTCATAGGGGATACGATGTTTGAAATCTTCGTCGTGAGGAACCACCATTTGTGGCGTATCCGTCAATCGTTGCTATGATACAGCAACCCATTATTCAACGAATATCGGTGTATTCGTGCGCGCAATCGCGCCGACAAATTATTGTCCGAGTTTTTACACTCCGTGCTCCCGAGAGCCTGTAGCAGCGCTACACACATACCATCACACGCGTATGTGGCGCGGATCAAATCCGTCGCGGACGACTTCACCGTCGTGAAATGAGCAAGCTCATAATTCGGTCTGCATGACAACGCATTAGCCAAAGCATTCTGCTTTCCTTGCTTATACATCACCCCAAAGTTATATTCTGCGAAGAAGGAGAGCCACCTGGCCATCCTCTGGGAGAGGTGAGGCGACTGAGTCGCAGGGTATAATGACGCATGATCGGTGTAGATCACGAACGGCTTTGAGCCAAGCAGGTGCACCCTGAACTTGACATACTTCATCGTGGATTGGGTTGTTCTTTTCCGCAGCATTAATCTGGCGAGATTCAAATGCGATATCCCGATCTCGACTCTCGGCGTCCGCTTGCAGCAGTGCATAGCCGATGGCAAAGTCCGAAGCGTCACAGACGACACTGAAAAGACGATCGGGGTCTTGCAACCGTAGTAGTGGTGCATGAAGGTGGCTGTCTTTGAACCTGTCAGAAGCCTACTGATGGTCGGTGTTCCTGCACCATTCCGTATCCTTCCGAAGGAGATTCGAGAATGGCCGTGCCATTTCCGCATAATTTGCGCAAGTCCTTTTGGTTCTTTGGAACCGGCTAGTCCACAATGGCCTTGACCTTAGCGGGATCCGCCCGAAGGCCACGCTTCCCAATGAAGCACCATAAAAAGGGGGATTGATTCTGACCCAAAGATGGACTTGTCTGCTTTGATGTGGTGTCGGAGTATGTCTGTGCATACCCAGGGTGGGGTCCGAACAACTGCGTCACAAGACGATCTAATGTTGCTGGTGCATTTGACAGCATCAGCGGCCACTCCCAGAGCATGCCGCTCAATTGCTCACCGCTGCGAGCGGAATATTACTCGCTCTCATGAGCAATTGGTGACACCCATCGACCAAGCTTAGTGCACTGTACTTTGTACGGCCAACCGTATTGTTCTGAGGAACATCCTCCCTAGGAATCAGCGTCTGTGCCAAAATGGTGGCTGCGTCTAGCTTATTGTAATCGTGAACGATACGCCACTTGCCGCTCGACTTCCGGACACAAAAAATCGTGGGTGTCGAATGGGGTGACTTGCTCTCACGCACCGTCGTGCTTCGCACATAAAATAGCGTTAATGACTTCACACTGCTCCTTGGACAGGGGTCATTGGCGTGTTACGCAGTATTTGATCCCTGAACCAGGTCGGACTCATGACGCACACTTCGGTCCGGAAGTTAGACTGCTTTGGAGACGACGTCTTAATATTTCTCTACCAAACATTCTCGAGCCCTGTGTCGGGGGGATGTTACGGATCCGAGGGATTCTTTTGGATCGAAGATCCACTTCGTGCGTTAAGCATCCTCTTGGTGTCCTCCACGACAGCTTCGTCCCGAAGCGACGACGAGTTGATCTCCTCGTTCGGTTTTACAATGACCACCTAGGATAAATTGTCTGCATCCAAGGCGCCGCCAAACTCTTCGAAGAACATCTCGTCCAGCTCAAGAAGAACATCCACCACATGGTCAGCCTCGAGGGTGACGTCGCCGTCTTCCTCTCTCGTCATACCGTTGACAAGGGTATATAGCTGTGCGCTATCGTCTACAGTAGACACACCCTGGGTCAGGGTCGACGCCCTGGGTCTTGCAGATACGATACGGCATCGCCGCCTCCACTGTACAGAAGTTTGACGTCTCGTCAAGATCAGTCGGAACACGCACTCAGCGTCTTCCAGTGTACCATTCCTGCTCCATCAAAGCCTTAATATTATTAACAACATCCGACGAAGAGATGGTATTTCTGCAGTCTTTGTCCAGTAGATAACGTGCCACTTCACGAGTATCAGATGGGCCTTGCCTAAAACCTCGTTCGACCATGCTGCTCTTGGCATGCAGAAACTGCTTTAAACGTGAGCAGTGCTCAGTAGATTACGTGCCACTCCACGCGCATCACTGGGGCCTCACCATTGATGCCTCGGACCTCGTCTGATCATGCCACTCTTGGCATGCAGCAACTGCTTTGGAACGTGAGCAGTTCTCAGCGGGATACGTGTCACATCACGTGCATCAATGGGACCTCACCCTCGGTGTTTCGGCTATTCGCCGATCTTGCCTAGCATGGCATGCAGCGACTGCTCCGATACTTGAGTAACGCTCAGTGATTATCGCGCAATATCGCTCGTCACGTTGACAGCAGCTAAGATATCAAGTCACGTGCCACTACTCGTTCAGCCTGCAAGCCATGCGCGGGACTCCCATCCAATACACCTTCGGTGCTCGACAGCTTGGAAACTCCGATATCCCGCACATTGACCGTCCTGGTTTAGTGCCCGGACCAATAGCGCTTCTGCTTCCTAGCAAAGCTGGTTCAATACTCACCAAAGCTCCACCAGGAGGCGTGCGTGTAGCGCCCAAGGTCTTTGACCTCCAATCGATCCATAGCTCATGGTGTTCCAGCCATGCCATACCAAGGATACCGTCATAACTTGAATCAAAGTCAGAGACTTAACAGCGTTCCACGCTATCGATGTCAAGAAACTTGACACCGAGGTCCACATGGACTCTTGATACAGTTCCCCTCGCTAAGCAAACAGTGACGGTGTCACTCAACCGCGCTTCCAGCGCCTCAGCATTTAGCTGTCCCCCCTTCGATCGCGGAGCGTCGAGCATAATTGCCCGACGCACCAGAATCGACAAGGATTTTCTATGGCTCCTCGAAGCCCTTCACGGCCGCCTTTACAATCAGCAAGCCCGGCTTGCGCACACGTATCGTGTTCAAGAGCATGTAGCTCTTCGGGGCTAGGCCTTGCTGCACTCTACCTCCTTAAGTGCAATACAACTCAGTTCTTCTCCAGTAGGGCGCTCGGGCGCTCCACGCCTACTGGCTCTTCTTATCATCCCGCGACAACCAGGCTGGTTAGATGCGGGACGTCGGGTCGACGAACCTTTACGCGCCTTGCGCAAGAAACAACCAGTCCGAAGGTGACGGGTTTTTCCACAGACAAACCACCGTCGAGTATTTAAACGCTGCTCGGCAGCTCGGAGCTCTCCCTATATTTTGTCAGCATAGCTTAGATTCATTGGCTCAAACCCAATCGACAAGTTCTGAGGGTGTGCATTTCAACCAAGTTGCGGAGACTTAAATTTGAAATCGACATTTATAGCCATACCCACCATTTCTTCAAAAGAAGACGGACGCACACAAAAGACTTCCATTCTGGCCACGCCAGTGCGGAGGCCCTCCATAGAAATGGTAACTATGACCGACCCGGGGAGAGGATCGGCTGCCACCCCCGGCAATGAGAGATGAGAGTTCTTAACTCTTGAATAAAGTCCACCGATTTCATCTTGCCCTGTCGGGCGGCAACGAAACGCGATCGCACGCGATATGCCTGGTAGGCGGCGAAAACACTCGCAAAAGCTGCAGCTTTAGATCCTTTCAGGAAGAGAAAGCCACTTTAAACAAGTACCGCACGTTCTCGCGCTCGGCCCACGAGCTTGGAGATAGCTAGCCCCACGCGCTGTTGATCGTTCTGGAGCATGGCGAATGCCATAGCCATATCGGCCTCTTTCGCCCAGAGCATGAAATATTCTCCATCCTTACCCTCGAAAGTCTTAACACTCACCATGAGGGGCCTGGGTTGGGAGGATTCACCCGTCGTCGACGGTGGCATCATGGACGCAGTTGATGCCAACAGCTTCTTCTCTAGGTGCTCTAGCAGAGCAATTTCATACTTCGAAAACGCCTCTAGGCACGCGCTTATCGCCTCGGGTCCTGCGAAGCAAGGTGTTGCATGCCCTCAGTACAACGGGGCTGCCGTAGCTTAGCTCTTTAAGGAAGCATAACTTAGGTCACCGACCTTTCGTTCTATACTTAAAACAAGTACGAGTTTAGCAGATCGCGATCCGCTAACTCCAGGAGTAATTATTGCCTCAATCCAAGGCTAATCAACCCTTCCGTTTAAAATCCAAAACTGACTTTTATTTATTTTTGTTTGCGGCAAAGCCGCCGAATTTTGAATGTATAGATTTTCTTAAATACATATAGCAAAATCTAAATACACGCATAACTACTGGCAACCCAGCCACATACCGTAATCTTGTTTGGGTGCAGGCACACCAGCCCATCTCGTGTGACACCCCCCTGTTACCAGGGTACGTGTAACCCCGTTACACTCAGGGTCAAATAGGGACATCAGCTTCTTAAGCCCGTCGTGCATACCAAGAGAATTGCTCCATCCTCACAAAAGATCAGTCGTATCGACTCAGGAGTAGAATAATTACAAGTGTTACCAAGTGCAACAAGGCTGTCGTAGCTCATTGCTTAGAGGAAGCTAAGCTAAGGCCACCGACCTTATATTCCATACCAGAATCAGACGAGTGTAGCAGATCGCAATCCCTACCTCCAAGAGTACCTAAAAACGTTAACCAAGGTAAAAACACTCTTCCATTCAAAACTGAAACTGTAATTATTTGATTTTTTGCTTGCAAGAGAGCCGACTATATCCGAAACCTTAGATTTTTCTAATTAATAGTAAAACCAAATCAATATGGCAACCCCGCCACGTTGTGGCATCTTGTTACGGTGTAGCCACACCATTATGTGATTACACCGACTTGTGTAATCCACACCTTTGTACTGTCACACCATCTAGTGCGACTTACCCTTTTACACCAAGGTACGTGTAACCCCGTTACATGGCTGACGCAGTTTTGTGTACGGCAAGGCTTCTGTACGGTCGCGTTCACATCACAATCCACATCAAATTTCCACTAATGAAGTGAACCACATTATTTTTGGTACAAGCGCTTTTTTTCGCATCCGCCATCTGCTCTATGCTGTTGTCCCTCTTATCATTCATATCCAGTCAATAAAGATACTGCATTTAATTCGTAGTCCATACTCACTCATCATTGTATTTATATTTATACCCTGATCTAACGCGTGTTGATCAACATGCCCCAAAACTTGTTTATTTACGCCAAAAATGCTGATCGAAAAGCACGTCATGTCCACAGATAGCAAACCTACAAGTTCCAAACGCGGGGGACTGACTTGCAGATCGTCCATGTTAATATCAGCGACAGTCGCGCCGCCTCCTTTCCGCTTATAGTAATGACTTAAATCCGTCAATACAACTTCGAGGTCCGATCTCATCTTGGAACGTATGATGGCTTCTGAAGCTTCAATGATAACTTGTTACTCACTTATCTGTGTCGTTGATATCCATTCCTGCGGGACTAACTGAGATCACTCATTTGCTTTCCTGGTCTGCTCACATACGCATTTGTAATTTATCAAGCCTTGCTGGTACACCTTAACTTCCCAAAAAGTGCGGAGCTCTGTTACAGCAGCAAATTATGTATTCAAATAATAAAATACTTCAGTATTTGCGCAAGCCAATCTAACCATGCATTCTTTCATTTGAATCGATCTACTTCTTGATCATTCCAACGGTTTTGCCTTGCTCATTTTATGAAGGAAGCTTTGACTCCAGGATTCGCATTAGCAAACGCACAGAGGTTGGGCTCACATGCATCTATCAGGAGGGGAACCGATAGTCTCTACCGTAGCTAAGTGTTGTCATCCCAAGGCTATATATATTTTGAGCTCATGCTATTAGACTAAAACGAAATGTTCGTCTTTTCTATCGTTCATAAGAACTCGCTCAGCAGGTGTTTTATTTGCGACACATCCACATTTACCTTTAGGGTTTCCACAGCAGATCCTTTTTGCGAAAAACACACATGTACTTTCATACCAATTTCGCGTCGTGCATCGCATGGAAGTACCCATGTGTGACGTTACATCATACTAAGTAGGGATCGTTGATGTGTGGCGCGATACTTTGACCAAGGAATGAGGCCAAAACATAACGCACTCTCCGATTCGAGGGCATCTAGCGCTGTGGGTTATAATCACCACGCGCGATGCACCCAGATTAAGTAGAGGTAGGGATCTCATCACCGTGCAGTGTCTCTCCATATCACCACAGCGTCGTATCGCTTCAAAATGCTATCATCAAATGCATTGGACCCTTGCGGATATCTGTCCTCCTTTTTTCTACCTACTCCGGGCCTTCTCCATTATTGTCCTGTTCATACGATCTGCCACCCCGCTTTACTGAGGGCTACATGAAACGGAACGCTGGTGCATGATGCTGCTTTGCTGTCATATGTCAGCAATTGTAAACTCCGACCCGTTCTCGGAACGCAAACTCTTCAGAAGTGTTCCCTATTGATTTTCATAAAACGTCTAGAATTTCTCGAACATGCCAGCCACTTCACTCTTTCTCTTGATTATGAATATCACCACACACCTTGAAAAATCACCCACAAACGTCAACATGTACTTTGCACCACCCTTCGATGGAGTCCTCATTGGCCCCATGACATCTGCGTCCACGCGCTCGAGTACACGCGTTGTCTACGTCATTGAATGTGAAGGAACTCTGGTGACTATTTACTTGCCCTTTAAACAACCGGCACATAACGTTTTCGTGTCTTACTTTATAAGTGGGATGCCTTTCGTCGAGTGCTGGGTCTTTACCAGCGCATTCTTGTCTGGGTGTCCCATGCGAGCATGCCAAAGCCCCCACTTACTGAATACTCCACAAGACATGCTTTTTATTGCTCTCAGTCAAGCATATATACCTTTCTGATTTTTGTACCCGACGCAATCACTTGATCATTGTTCCAGATGACGCATGAAGAACGCGAGAATTTTACACTCATGCCACGCTCCGCAAGCTTGCCGACTGACAGTAATCTTCTGTCAAGTCTTGGAATGTACAGAACTTCAATCATGCGAATAGCCTTTCCGTCCAAACCAGTCAGTTCACCGTGCCGGCTCCTCTGACGATCGACCTCTTGCCGTCTACAATCGTAACTTCAACGCTAGCCTCAAGGATCTTTTTTCAAACAAGTTGATTTCTGTGCGCGGTCATGTATTGTCGATCAACCATCCTACTGATCTTCCTTCACCAACAGCAAACACCGCGTCGTCGCTGTTGTATCGCTTCCCGACCGGGCAGTTCCGCTTCATGTGTCCAAAGTTGTCACAGTGTTAGCACTTACCTTTAAATTCTCAATTATTCCTTGGGACACCACAATTTCATTGATTGTCCCTTCCACCTTTGAATCTTCTAGCGCATCCACTTACGCGAAGCACTTACTCCGTGGCTTTCTCCCTCTGTAGCTTCTTAGATGCCTTGAGCCGCTTCTCCTTGACCTCAATCAGTGTTATAACCTTCGCATTCTCCACAATCGACAAAGTTATCTCGTACTCCGACGACAGACTACTCAAAAGTACCACCAACTTGCGTGACTCATCTACCGGGTCCCTGTAGTCTGGAGTCCCACTATCAGCTCGTTCAAAGAAACTAGATGTTCTACCATGCTTGTACCACTTTCCAACTTGAAATTGTTGAGTCGACGCATCATCGTCACACGATTGTGAAGTGTCAAGCGATTGTAGAAATCACGGAGGGCCCCCCAGGCCTCTATGACACGTATAGCCGAACGAATCTTGGTCTGGTGTTGAATCTCAACACCCTGAGCGATGATGCCAAGCGCCTTGGCGTCGTTCACGAGCCAGGTCTCCGTGATGTCTTTCTCATCCTTGACGGTCATAATGTGCGCCAAGAGTCCCTTTCTTGCTAGGGTCATCCTCATGTTATACTCACAGTGGTAATATTTACCACTCCCCATGAGCCTTCGGCTCCCTTATTTACCGTGGCGAGAAGAACGTAGATTAGAGGAAGACTTGGTTGCGGCTGTTAACCTGTTGAAAAGATTGTCAAAGCCAAAGTAAACGTATTCAGGTCCTTAATTCGCTAAACTGTGCTATCTCTAAGTCTTTCCTTCTAGATCCTTCTATAAGCAATCTTAAATACTAGACAAATGAACGACTCTTACCATATCCGGAATAACGTCCGTATTTAATTGTCGTAATCGACGTGCTTGAACCGTCATATGAAAAATGGTCACATAACGCCGTATCGGGCCATTAAGCGGTGCTATCTCAACACGCTATTCGCTCAAACCAAAATAGTAAGTAATACTTGCCAAAGTCTAATATATGTGATTTTCTCTCGTTCCCACTTAATTTAGAAGCTACACTTTTCAAGATAAAGTCTAATTTAGAGTAAATACTATTTATATTTGGTTTACTATGTTGCTAATGGATCCTCATGTCTTGAGACTAGCAGCTAATGTACAAACTTCTTCGTCATAGTGTCCCATCATACTCATTACTATCATTTCTTTCGTACCTCTAATTATAATTGCACATAGGTTCATACCTACGTCTGTGTACGCCATTATACACTATGTACTCCACATGCTTGATGAGCTCATATTAGAACGTGTCACCTGTATCTGAAGAGCTATGACCTCGAGAATATATACTCTTTACGTCAGTATGTTCGATCCGGAACAGTCGCTAGTGTAACTTGTCTCTGTACGGCAAATGAAAGTGCACTTTACAACCATTTGAAGAACCTCATCTAAATCTACTCTCTGCCCACGCCAATCATTTGACATTCTGATGTGGTCTTTCATGCCAAATTGTCAGCACTCATAATGTTTTTCTGTACACTTGACAGCTAGTTACGAGCACTGATAGCACATATGAAATCAGTCAGGACGGACAATATGCAAATTGTTGGACGCCACAATACACAATACGCGATGATGTGGCTCCAAACTAATATGAGGTAAACTGTAAGTGGTTGTAAGAAGCATATAGAATAACTCACTGCGATTCACAGATGCAGCTTCGTTGTTCGTATGCCAACTCAGAAAATATACTGCATCACAATCCGCAGTATTAATTTTGACTTTGTTCTCTTAAAAATTTTACAAAACCGCAAATTAAGCTCACATCCTTTCTATTGAAAGCCTTGCAAAACGACTGGCTCTGAAGTGTATCCAGTTATTCGCTGATTTGTTTTTTGTTAGAGTATATTATAATTATATATAAAATACGCAACATTTTGGTCGAACCTTTGATGTGGTATATTAATGCATTCGTACACTCACGCGCTAACTGACCAAAGCATCCAGCTGTGCTTAACGCACGTGGTCTGGCAAACTATTATATCCGGATATATTGTCAATCTACCAACTTCATCGGATACAATAAATTAGTAAGTTTAATAGCAAATCACTACACGTTTTTGTGCTCGAAGTATGAAGAATTCATTTCTTAATTTTTGTCAAGGAACCATTGGTTATACATGATCGCTATGCGCGAAAATCCAGTACGGCTTTACTTCCTATTGCTATCATGCGTTGCTTTCCTGGTGTGTAGTAAAGCCTCTTAATCGAAAAACGTAAAGGCAAGCACTGAGCGTACGCTGGTCCAGCGACAAGAAAGAACTCTAATGTCGACTGCCTTTCAATCCTTAAAGCCTTTGGAGGAGAGAGTTCTACCTGCTGCAGTAGAAGAAAACGTGGTGTCGTCTGTACGTCTTGCATCTGACGTCAAGGCCTTGAGAATACCGAAAGATTTCTCATTGCCTTCGCTGAAGATCCCAAAGCCTTCTGATTACTTGAGATTAGCATCTGACAAAGAGACAGCAGCTTTGGAACTTTTCAAGGACGCGAAGATTGCCGACGTAAAGGCGGATCTTTTTAACAGTCCTGAGATTAAATGGTGGTCGACCAATTTTGAGAAGGCTTTCGACATGAATAAACTAATCGACTCCATTGCGACTACCGCAGTTGTTGACGGTAACATAGCGTGTGACGACTACTTTATAGACGCACTGATAGCTTTACTCGTCACATTCAAGCTGGATAAGAGGACACAGAAATTTGCCAAACGTCTTGAAGAATCGTTGCTCAAATTCAGCGCTAAATTTTATGCCGTCAATAGCTTGAACGCCATAGGTGAGCGACTTGAACTGAAACTGGTTGACGTTTGGTTAAACTCGAGTTCGAAACGTCTTGCATACCCGTTGTTGAAGAGCTGGTACGATTCTCATCCGGACGTGGAGAAACCGACCCGGGATTTCATCTTGTACTCTGCTTTAAAAAACCAGGGTTTAAATGATCTCGGTATTGGACGTATGGCAATCGATGAACTTAACGATCCCAGTACTAAAGAGATTGCGTCAAATATGATCTTTATGTGTTTGATGTCAAAGCTCACAACTCCAGTGCCTCATAAAACGGATCTCGATATGCATTCCATGGCAAAGAATAATGTTGAAGGGCTTCTCGAGTACGCCGAAACCATCAACCTTGATATCGACGTGTTTGTGCTGCCTACACTCAGAAGGTTCCTAAGCGACGAGGACATACTTTCAAAGTGCGACTCTTTTTCGCTAATGTCACTGTTAATCCAGCAAAAGTTAAACGCGCCATTACAATAACGCGGCATAGCTTACAGCGCTTCAGTTGAGCCGTCCATACTTATATGATATTTTACTTACTTCGTAACAGACTATATAATCAAGACTTGATGCTAACTTGTTGTTTCTTTGAGTAATGTACAAAGCAACATTAATATTAATATTTGCTACAACTATCAGTCAGAGGCATGTATGCAGCCTGTTCTATCAAAACTACCAACGTGTCGTGCATCCATATATCGATGAATTATCCCACATGGAAGGATTTCGATATTTCAGATTTTTTGTATCGTTATACGGAATTAATATAAGGACCAAGTCGTAGATACAAGCAGTGAAGAAACTTCCTTCTGTGCAACTGGATGATGCGCATCTCGCACAGGGAGCTTCGATTAGAAAAACGTATTTTGATTCGATTATTTCAAGATGAATGTAAAGGTGTTGTCATTGTTAAATACAGCAATACAGCACAGTATACAGCAATACAGCACAGTATTTACAACACCTTTACATTCATCTTGAAATAATCGAATCAAAATAATGTGCTGTACATACACCTTAGTTGTGCAAAGTACATAATTTGTACTTTGCATACATAATTTGTATACCGAAGTATATATATATTGATGAAAATGATAAAATAGAGGCCAATGGTATACGTAGTCTGCAAGCCGCATGACTCCATATAATTAGACGTTTAATTTCGTATCAATTTTAGTTACAACGAAGGCACGCGGCTTGCTGTTATATCATTTGCGAGGATAAAGGATGAAAGGTTTGAGTACCTGTCTACGGGGCAAGTAGACCTGCTTAATGAGGTCATGTCTATCGCTGCAGCGGGGCTGCCGTAGTTTAACGCTTGAGGAAGCGTAATTTAGGTGGATAGTGGATAGTGCATGATATCGCGATTGTGTCATCATTATTTTCGTGCCATAATCTTGAGTATTGAGAACGTTTACAGTTGCAATCGATTATTGCCCCAAGGAGGCTCGCGTGTCCGTTATACACTGCAACTTAATTTGCTGGAGTAAAACGACTTCCTTGCTCAATGAGCCCTGTGTCCACGGCACGAAAATCACAAAGTCTCGCTGGTTCTGACAGCGACCTCGGGCAGAGCCCAACTTCGTCTCCCGCACGCGGTGCGATGTCGGACAGTGCGTCCGCGGCACCGGGGAATGTACATCCTAAGCTCGATGAGCACGAGCGTCGCGCTTTGCGCACGCTATCAATGACGAGTGACCTCGCTGAGGATGTGGAGGTGGTCGACTACGAGTCTGACTCCTTTTTCGCATGGGATGACGAGGAAGGTGAGCTGCGCCAGCAGCGTGATACGAGCCCTGCTCGCGCCTTGCGGACCCCATGTCCGG